CTTGCTATTGAAACATACACTTTGAAAGAAAATAACTAAAGATAGCATATGCGTCGATCGAATCGTACCGTTGCAAGATATCGCAATACGTATCGTATCGTGAAATTTCTGTATCGTCACACCTCTAGTATTTGTATCTTGTGTCCGTTGTTGAAATGGTAAATGTCAACAATACTTTACTGATTTCAGTGCTCCAGTTGACAAGTAGTCCTTAAGTGAACACCCCATAGTAAAGCTATTCTACATTATGCACATAATCTCTAAACCATTTATCTTGCAAATGTGTGTTTGATGTTAATATCAGCGTCACCCATTGAGATCCGGATTAGAATTGACCTTCAGCAACCCATTCCTGTCGTAACTGTTGACTATCGGGATTGGTTGGTTGGGTGGCTGTTTAACGCCGCACTCAGCAATATTCTATCTATACGGCGCGGGTATCAGGATTGGTGTACAGGATGTGTTGCTTGGTTGATCCATGTCATCGTGGACTCGATTAGGGTGATACACCAGTCTGGTTCTTCCACTTTCAGCACATGTTCAGAATGCTTGACAAAATGCTGCGATATTGTAATAGTAATAGTAACAGTCCGCTTATATGGGGCTCATATCCAGGCACATTGCCTGCTCACGGCGCTATGTACATAACTATCCCCGGTCATACGACACTATCGCACTTTCCGATAATTTTTCAACTCCTTGGGGAGTATACAGCCATGCTGCCTGTTAGGTGCAATGAACTTAACACTCACATTGCCAGCACATCCTCACGGGTACCCATTTTACAGCTGATTGAACTGAGACAATGTGGATCTAAGTATCTTGTCCAAGGATACTACGCAAATGTGCCCACTTCGGGACCCGAACCTAGGTGCCTCCATCGGGGATCGAACCCGGGCCTTCAGCGTGATAGGCAGACGCCTTACCACTGCAATCCACAATGGTTGACAACACGTTGCGATATTGCTTGAATATTGCTAAACGTTGCGTACAACTTTACTTTCTCATTCACTCCGTGTTTATGTAGTAGGATATTTATGCATATAGTAAATGTTTTCGTAACCCATTTGGGAAAGGTATTAAGATATCACAGATCAACAAAACATAAAGTTTGTCTTGGAGTTTAGCTTCAACGTTTTGGACATGGTCCTTTAATGCTTTCAACATCCCGAGACCGCAAAAACGATATTTTTCAGATAGTGGATATAAATTAAGATGGAATTTTATTCTCCACAATTCGAACACATTTAAGAAAAATGCAATAAAACGGAATCGCCTTCTAAATAGAATCAGTAAAATGTTGGAGGCTGTGAACAAGATAAATGTTTTGATTGATCCTTAGAGCTTTGATGATTAAACCAATTTCTGAACAGTTCAGAGCTTAAAATATCTTTCTGACATCTTGAGATGTAATTTGCAGCGAGAAAATAAACAGCCTTCTTTTCAAGTAATTGCTTTGTTGTTATCTCTTTACATGTGAGTGACGTCATACTTCTCCATAGTGGTTTTCGTCAAGTGGAATGAGTACGGAGACAACGATCTCTCAGTCTGTTATCAATCATAACATTTGCCAATGTTGTTGCTGTGTCTGTGCACAGACCATTAAATTCTTCTTGAGGCATCATTCATGACCAGGCTTGTTGTCTGTCCGACATGCCCGAAGAAGATATTGCTGCAGAGCTTGTAGATCCTGAAAAGAACACACGCGTCTCTCCCGGCCGCAGTAAAAAGAAAGGAGGATATTTTAACGTCAGAGTGGATTAGTATGTTCCCTGTCCACTCCGATGTTATAAATGCCAGAAATGTGGTCATGGGTTGAACTACGTGGCTCTGCAATATGTAATCGTTGTGGGTAGAGCCATGGAAACACCAAATTCGACAAGTGTACTCCTGTGATGGCCCACATGGTGCATTTTCCGAATTCTGCCCTGTGTTGCAAAAGAAATAACTCATAATGGAACTAAAATATGAAATCACATATCCTACATTGACGTTTAAAAGCCATATGCAAACGATAACTCAACTACATTAATTATAACATACTCTGCCGCAGTCTACTCACCTCGCTGTATAACAATATCATCTGTTACGTGTCAAACAAACCTACACCTTCAGGTGAGGTGAGGTGAAATTGGGTTTAACGTCGTGCTTGAGAATATTTCGCTCATATGACGACGTGCATGCGTGTGTATGTGTATGTGCGGCTGCTTGTACTAGCCCAGACTTCAGCTGGTTTTATAGTGCTAGCCCACTGAGATACCATGCAGGAGTGAAGCATCAATACCCCTCTCAGACACAGTATACTGACTCCGAGCCGACCAGTCCTTGTACCCATTAATGCCGAGCGCCAGGCAGGAACCAACAAGTACCATATTTTAACGTCTTTTGGTATGACGCGGTCGGGGATTGAACCCGCGACCTTCCGCTCTCTCGGCGGACGCTCTAACCACTACGCCACAGAGGCGATCACACCTTCAGAGATTTCTCTAGAAAACTCTTTTGGACCTCTAGACATGAGGGTCACTCTGTCCTCACAGATAATTTCAACACGTACCAGGGTTGCCTTGCACAAGTGCCTCCAAGGAGTTGATATATGTATTTATTTATTAATTTATTTAAACGCTTAAGCAAGGCACACATCCCAACGCATGTCTTGGTGAAAAGTTGAATAAAAACACTTTCTAAAAGGCCAATATCAAAAGTGTGGAATGTGATCCGGTGAGTGAGTGAGTTAATATTTATCGTCACATCGGCAATATTTCAGCCATATCGTGGCGAAAACAATTAATAAATATATTTGAGATCAATAAACTTAGAAAATAAATGCCCATTGACGAAGTCCAGAAAATGAATGGTGAGGACTCTAAATCTAGCATTAGCCATCTTAATGACAGAAACCGTATATTAACTAGTAAATGCTATATTGCTATTAGACATGAAACTTTGGCTTACCATTCTTCTTCATCAAATTATGTACCTCGATTCGAAAAATATCAATAACAGCTAGAAAACTTAATTCCAATTTAAAACAAGAGTCATCAGAAGATGACATATCCCCCCGGCCCCCACATATTTGAAAGAACAAACTATCTCATATACCTATCAGTTTTAGAGATGTGGTCCAAACAAACACACCACAATGAATGATCAAACCTGTTGACATGGAAACAGGAAACTAATTCATTATCATAAAATTCCTACATAGCAAAAGGCACCGCGTCAGTCCTTGGTTAATACATGTACCTGGTTTGGATGAAAAGTGTTTAATGTTTTCTTAAGTTGTGTTTCTTAAACAAAATCCACCACCACTTTGTCTCCATATAAATCGAGAGAAATAAAAAATGAAAAATGCAGATAGCAAAACGTACTACTTCAAGGTCTGATTCATATACCTGCCAAATGTTTCTTCTCTGAAAGGAATTTCTGCTAAAGCTTTCACATTTTCTCATGGTTCTGAGACACAACACATAATAGGAATGGAGTGACCTTGAGCTCCTAGCACATCAATATCTATATAATGCCAACAGGATACCCACACAATAATATGACACACTTTTCAAGGAATCTTCTGTTGTTTGCTAATGAATCCACAGAATCATTGACTGGATAGATTAGAGTGAGTGAGTGAGTTATTATTTAACGTCACATCGGCAATATTTCAGCCATATCGTGACGAGAAGACTTGATATTGAAATAGAATATATATAGAGATTATAAAACCTGCCGGCGAAGGACAGTAAAACAACTAGAGTATCACATATATATATGTAAAACTAGTAATTGAATCTAAAACATTTTAACTATAGGGGACAACACAATATAAAAATGGGCTATAGATCGCCAACAACTGAAGGTAGATCACCATACTAGGAACCATGGGGACTTACATTACTTTTGCTACCTGCATGGATCCTAGCTGGATTAACACCATCCCTTCAGCCGCTGGCGATTGTAGGAAAATTTAGCCAGAACAGTTAAAACAACTAAAATACTACGTTTAAAATGTGATAATTTATAATTTACTTTGAAAGTTTTGGGACTTACGTACCGGATAGATTAGAATGTTCTCATGGTGCTGGCACAATATTATCCATATAACGTCCATGAGACACCCACAAAATAATATGACACGCTCTTAAAAGGAATCTTCTGTTGTTTGCTAATGAATCCACAGAATCTTTGACTGGATAGATTAGAATGTTCTCATGGTGCTGGCACAATATTATCCATATAACGTCCATGAGACACCCACAAAATAATATGACACACTCTTCAAGGAATCTTCTGTTGTTTGCTAATGAATCCACAGAATCATTGACTGGATAGATTAGAATGTTCTCATGGTGCTCGCACAATATTATCCATATAACGTCCATGAGACACCCACACAATAATATGACACGCTCTTAAAAGGAATCTTCTGTTGTTTGCTAATGAATCCACAGAATCTTTGACTTGATAGATTAGAATGTTCTCATGGTGCTGGCACAATATTATCCATATAACGTCCATGAGACACCCACAAAATAATATGACACACTCTTGAAAGGAATCTTCTGTTGTCTGCCAATGAATCCACAGAATCGTTGACTGGATAGATTAGAATGTTCTCATGGTGCTGGCACAATATTATCCATAAAACGTCCATGGGACACCTATGCACAAAAATTAAAAGAAGTAGATGCTCCCAGGAAGTTGCTTTCAGTTCTCGTCAATCCAACATATTTTTATTGGAGTAAAATCAAAATAAGCCTGTGGTCTGACCAGCATGTTTCTGTTTTTGCTGTCTCAAATGATCCATGTGGCAGATTGGCATAGATGTGATCCAGCAAGGTTCTGTAGTCTGTTGTTGGTCCTTCAGTGCATTGCTTATATCCTGTAGGATGCTGAAGAGGTGGATGTTGCTTGAGATCACTGTTCATATCTCCTAAAACCACAGCATGTGCAGTAGTGATGGACTTCAGCATCTGTGTTAGGACACGTGTCAGTGTGGATGTGGAGATCTCTGGACCTTTTGTAAACACCAATGATTGTTACATCTGGTCTTTCTGTTGGAATGATAACTGTTAGCTCAATGCCAGCTCTGTTCCTTGTGACTATACTTATTTGATTCATCTTGTAATAAACTGCAGAGCCATGTGATGGTCGCACATGTGGTGGATGAGACATTTCATCATTTCTAAAGAGACTGAAACCTGGCATCTGGTAATGGGTGTTAGGTTCAGAGGGAAAGATTCTAGTTTCAGAGGAGATGCACACATTTGTTGCTTGAATGTTGGGATCATGCAGACAGTCGACCAAATGCTTGTGCAATGATCTAGCATTGTTGTAACAAATGATGAAGGAGTTGGACAATGAATAAACTGGTTTACTGGCAGTTCGTAATGAGCACTTGATCTTAGACGTCCATTTCTGTCTTCACTTGTGCAATTTTTTCTTTGTTCAAAATAAAGGATATGGAGACCTTCTAATGTTGTCACCCTGCTAAGGCCCACGTAGTGTGCATGTTCAAAGAATGGTAGACAAATTCTTGAACTCTCGACTGAGACATCAACATCTATTTCAGTAATTGTTTCGCCCTGTGCTCTGTGAAACGTTTTGGCAGGAGAAGGTCTGAGAGGGAATTGGTCCGCATTATTTCTCCATTGCGACCTACTTTCAACTGTCTGCTAACAGGAACAATAGGAGTCCATTGCTTGTGAATTCCACGTGTGTACAATCACTGATTGTCCAATCGTGTCTGATGTCCAACTTTGTCTGTTGCGAACTGCATCCATATTACACCTTTTCTCGCAATACCTGATGGAGGAATAGCCAACTGTTTAATAATACCTGAGGCTCAATTTGTCATGCCATCTTTTGTGTTGACATTCATACAAACTTCAAAATTCAGATCAAGACTAATTTTTAGGTTGGTATGGAGATGCATTGTCTTTTGAGGGATTGTCTGGAATCTGGCTTTTCAGGCGTCTCTCTACTTCAAATGAAACATCTCCAATGACTCTGTCATGAACCTTGCAAGTTGTTTTCATCTTTGTTGACCTTGCAAATGCATCATCATTCCAAAGAGCAACTCGAGAATTTTCCGGAAACAGATGTGGAGCATATATTGGATAGTTTGGCATGAAGACATCACATATACTGGTTTCAAGAACCTCTTTGTCTTCTGCTGTATGCATACCTTCTCTAAGTCTATTGAGAATCTGTGCAAAGTGGACAGAGTCTCTTTGACGCATGATTTCAGTGAGTTCATACATGTTTTGACACAAGTTAGTTGCCAGTGCATTAATCCCATCAACATCATTGGAAAAACAAAAAACAGTCAAAAACGGGCTTGAACTGGAACAGATCTCCAAAGCATATGACTGACACCTTTGCAAAATCCTCACCAGATGCCATGATGTCTTGCATGCGCCTGTGTATGAGAGTAAAAAAGTCTAAGCCCAACCATAGAGATCTCATCTATTATGGTGAGCTTTGTATCTCCCAGTTCCATTCTGAGTGTATTGAGCTTGTCAGATGGAGGTGTGTCCATATTTAGCCTTTGATTTGGAAGAACTTTCATAGCAGACTGGATTGTGTTACCAAAGACATTAAAAGCTGTTTTTCCGGTTGGAGCGATTACATGAACATGCTGTTTGTTGAAGTCAGAGCCTGCGACATGGTTGTAATACTTCATAGTAGTTTGATAAATGGCTGTGAGTAGTCTACTCCTTTCCCACACCTGCTCCTCCACTCAAAAAGGCATAGGAAGGATCATCTGTAGTTTTGATTCGATAAAGAACATCATTGAAGAACTCTCGTTGTTTATGGTTTAAGGACCGAATGAAGGCTCTGCGCTTTTCATCAGGCATCTCATCAAAAGGTAGAAGCTATGTTGTCTTTGCTGTTGTGGGAATGCCAGCTGATTGAACAAAACATTCTGGTGGTTCCAGCACTTCATGGGCATCACTAGGTTCTACACCCTGATCGATGTCTCTCTGATTGTCATGTTCTGTGTTGGGAGCTAATTGATCCCACTGTTCTTGGATGTCTTGTGTTGCCTGCTTTTCTGCTTGGTCTACTTCTGAAGCATTTGGCTCGTATGTCTGCAGCTGTTCCAGAATGCCCGATTCAAGGTGGTTGTATCGATCCTGAAATGTCTCACATGAACCAATGAGTGTGTCCTCATCTCTCCATGGGCTAAAAAGGAAGATTCTCTCACGATAAAAATCCTCTGGGTGAGTGTCTTTGTTGTATCTCACATACCTTAGTACACGTGGAACGTTTCATTTTTAATGCTATCTTTGTCATGTGGTACAACAGTATCTCCATCTTCATCGCTGACAGATTCTCTTTCCTGTGGTTGTACATCTGAATCCGTTTTTCCACCCCTTTGTATTGAATCATAAGAAGCTGCCCAGTCAGCAAGAGTTAATGCTTCTAAGCTTGTAGGTCTATTTGAGTATCTACTGATCATATTGTCAGTTGCTATCTCATCTGGGTCATCATCAAGCTTGTCTATCTCTTTTTCTGACTTGAGAAAGTATGTACGCTCAATTGAAGGTGATGTTGGTACAAAAGTAACGTGACGAGAAGCTTGACGTAGTGAAACTTGTAAGCACAAATCTACAGCTTCCCGAGCTGAGATTTCAACATTGTTGGTGAACCTGTTACCAATGAAACTGACTTGTTCACGTATTCCACTCCCCTTTTCTCGGGCTTCTTTACAGGCTCTGTCGAGCAGTAAGCTCTTCCCTCTTTGAGATTTAGATATGTATCCAACAACATACACAGCACAGGCGTAAATGTCAAGAATGAACTGAGCATCCATATTTACCCGCCAGGCTGAAAGACATACTGGAATGTAGGCATTTACACGTATGTCTTTAGGTGGCTGCTTCAGGAACAGACTTGGAGATGAAATGGATGACCCTAAAGCCAACATATACTGTTCTTCTGACATTTTCAGTTAACCCAAGAACTCATCAAATTCAACATCTTCTCCTAATTTCATTTCATCAAGATGGGCTTTGATGATCTTATAGCATCTTTTAGGTCCTTTGCTGACGGATCTTCAATGGGTGTCAGAACTGCAGTTCTCCTAAGAGGTGGCTGGGGGTAGTTGAAGCGGCACTTGTTAGAGCCCTTGTTGCAAGTTCTTGAATGCCTGTGAATCTGCATATCAGCTTGATTATGATCAGATGAGCAGGAAATGATTCTGTCAACAAATTCCACGAGTCCTGTGTTTGTTCATACCAGGGAGCACCATCCACCCACACCAGTATGTGTATGTATGGGGAGCCACGATGCTGGTATTCCACCCGGTAGAAGTAGTCCTTAAGAGGTCCGCCTAGAGGATATAGGTCACTGCGCAAACACTTGAGGAGGCACTGAACTGAATGATGAAAATGCCTGGAGCATGTCACAGAGTCACTTTGTATCAGATGGCACTTGTCTTGCCAAGTCAGAGCTTCTACATCATCATCACTCAACTCTTGTCCATCAACAGTTTTAGACAGAATTTTCAAAAGGTGAGCCCATCTAGTCTCTGCTGCTGAAAAACTCATGAAGAATGTAGCTGGACCAAGGAATCTGATCATAGCAAAAATATCCTTTTTGGCTTTTTCAAAGTAAGGTGGTGATACCCTAATAGATCGGAGCACTCTGTAGCCTTCATCCAGATGTAAAAGATTGGATATAGCGCCTTTCTTTTTAAGATCCCCAGCTGTGAGTTTCTTGTCTTTTTGTTTGTATTTTCTGATGGCAATTTGTATCTTCCCATAGATGAGTTGCATTTGAAGTTGTTTAGTCTTAAAGAAAATGTTGTCCACACATTTTGTTACTCTGCAAACTCTGCATCGTAACTCAGATTTTACTATTTCACTATAGTAGATATTTGTCTGTCTCTTAGTACTTCTGGGCCTACCACAGAATATCCCAGGGAATGCAAGTTCTTCGCAATACGGATCTTTAAAAACCGACACAGGTTGACTATACTGTCGAGGAGCAAAACACTACCATAACTCGTACAGCCTTGTGGACCCAATACCGAAGCGCTTTTTTTCCCTCGCTTGCTGGGAGCACCCCGTGAAGGGAGCGTATTTCTTGGATCTTGTCTGAAGACAAATCTTTTCATGGTGGCATGGTTGGTTTTCCCTGGGAATATATATATTCCCATACTTCCTATATGTCTATATTGGAATCCCAATCCTCTCCGAGGAATCCCAATCCTCTCCCAGGAATCCCAATCTACCCCAGGAACCCAAATCCCCCCCCGTAAACTTCTAACAATGCTTAGCAAATGCTTAGCAATGCTTAGCAGTGCTTATCAATGCTTAGCAAATACTTGCAGCAAGCGAGGTCAAAAAGGGCTTCAGTATCAGGTCCACAAGGCTGTACGAGCTATGGCGAGAGCCTGCTGTAGAACCTCCGACGCCCACCACGACTGTATTGTCTGCTGAAGAACCTTCACCCGCTAGCGGGACGTCTACCAGCAGCGTATTGCCTGCTGCAGAACCGTCGACTGCGCCCACCGTCCAGGAGTTCTACGACTGCTTGGGGAGGCTCGAGGCTCGTGTGGAACAAAACGCGACGATGTTGTCGGCTGGTGTGGAGCAAACTGGGACGATGTTGTCGGCTCGTGCGTATGGGTATAGAAAGCATCGAGGAGGAACAAGAAGAGACCCGTCTGGGTATCGAGAAGGTGCGGCAGATGGTAGAATTGGCACAATGGTTGACCTACCTTCGATAGCTGCCTTGTTTCTCAGGAAGGTTGTCTGCAAGACCTGGAAGCACAGCAAACCAGTTTCTCCCTTCATGCACCCCTTATACACACCGACCGATGAGAAGATAGAAACACACAAGACCAAACGTGGGGATCCGTTCCACATGGAGTAGAGTGTGGAATGCAGCCTACACGAACCATGTGTTGTTTTTTTCCCCCAGGTATGCACAACGACCCATGCCAGAGTAGGAGTAGTACTCTCCCTAGCCCTGCGGTACCTGGACCACGGCACCCCGGTCCATGTTGGAGTAGGAGTACTCTCCCTAGCCCTGCAGTACCTGGACCACAGCACCCCGGTCCATGTCAGAGTAGTAGTACTCTCCCTAGTCCCGCGGGGCCTGGACCACAGGACCCCGGTCCATGTCAGAGTAGTAGTACTCTCCCTAGCCCTGTGGGGCCTGGAAGGTCCTCCACAGCACCCCAGTCCATGCTGGAGTAGGAGTAGTACTCTCCATAGACCTGTGGTGCCTGGACCACAGCACCCCGGGCCATGTCAGAGAAGTAGTACTCTCCCTAACCCTGCAGGGCCTGGAAGGTCCTCCACAGCACCCCGGGCTATGTCAGAGTAGTAGTACTCTCCCTAGCCCTGAGGTGCTTGGAAGGACCCATAGAAACTATGGGAAGCAGCAACTCGACTTCTCTATTGTCTTTCTTTTTCGATATGGGTGAGCGGCAGATTTTACCGAGCCTGCACAGAAACAGTTCCAGCACCAACCGTATGCATTCTCTCCCACGGCGTCCCGAATCGTTTCTCGTATCTTGTAGCCGTAAACTGGAATCGTTTCCCCAGTCGGTGATTCGAGTAGCAGCAACAGCCGGGTCTTCCTTTCGTATCTCGCTACCGCAAACTTTTTGCACGTGTAGACTCCTTCTGGGACGCCTGCGGCATTTCGGTGTTTGCTGCATGGAGGGGGTGCCACTTCTATATCCTTGACCCGCCATAGTTGGGCAATGGGGTATGCCAAATATTGCCCCGTCCCTGTGGTACCTCTGCTTCCCCCGATAGCTGCCGGAAGATACAAGACTCTTTCTCCTTGCACGGACAATGGTCCACCAATTTGCTGATGAGGAGTGCATACCGTATGCTCCAGAAAGTGCAGGTGTTGTCGTACAGGTTCTCTACATTCATGAAACAGATATCGACCATGATCTCTTCTGGAACCTTGAGTGGGAGTCGCTCCTTGGGTGTGTAGTCTATCGCTTTCTTTCACCAGTGAACGCATTTCTTTCTGTCAACGCAGTGGTCGATGCCGCCGCACTTGCACGTAGAGTCGTCGGGTCCGAAGAGAGCAGGCACTTCTGATAAAGTTCGAGAAACTGGTGAGGGATCTGGTAGTGCTCGTAGCAGGTGTGCCCCAATTGCTCCAGGATTTGTTTCTCTCGGTCCGAAAGCAATATGTGGGGACACTTCTCCAGCAGACCCTCGAAGACTTCGGCCATGCCGGGAGTTGTCATCATCTGTGGCTCGGGGTCTATACCACCTCGGATTCGCGTGTATCGGGCTTGCGATATATGGTACTTCCTCTTCGTTTCCCGAAGGGACAAACGACCCGATCGGATCTCGGTATAGGCTTCGCGTGAGAGCTTGGTTACCGGCATGTTTCTATATCCATGCACCCACATAGCTCTAATTGGGAGTGCACTTGCGTTGGGAGAGACGAAAGTGGTCTTGTCGAAGTTTTGTGGCAAACACTCATTTTTACTAGGCTGGTAGCAGAATTAGCCCGTATGGAAGCTTCTAAGCAAGGTGTACCCATACGTCTTTTCTCGCTATTCCATATACTACTCTCCAAGGACTGCATTCGCTTGAACTACGGCTAGTGGCTCCCAGAATTCCCTTTATCAAGATCTTTCAGGCACCTTAAGGTCCATGGGAATATGGTCAATTTGCCTTCCAATGTTGTTCAGACAGTTTCTGCTTTGCCACGACTCCAAAATCAAGATGGCACTATTAAAGTGAAACTGAAGACTTGCCTATAAGCCAGCTGTTGTCAACGAGAACATAAGGCCACACAAAGTCATGGGGGCTGCAAAATGGCTTGTAGAAAACAGTCCTTTGTACAAAAGAAAAAACATCACCCTTGATGACAATTGGACCTACCAGCCCAGAGGTTAAAGCTGAAGATAACAGTGGTAATTCTACTCTTGGTTCACAAGATGAACAGATTGTCACATCAAAGGGATCATGGAGGGATCTTATTGGCTTTAATATGTTTCCTGCATGTGTTGCAGATCCACTCTTTGCCTTTTTCAAACTTGTTGCCATGGAAACGCCAAACATATTTAATTCAGAATACCAAAACTACCAAAAGGCACCAGGACACCACCAGATCTATCCACGTGCCAAGTTTGGTGAAGAAATATTGAACGGTTTTAAAGTTCAGCTCCCGAAAAGACAAATGTGCACGGACGCACGGACGCACGGACGGAGTCCATTTTAATACCCCCCGCAAAACGCGTTGTGGGGGATAACAAACAGCTGTCAACTGTGAAGCTCCTGTCAGAGTAGACCAAATCTGGGTATGTATGAATAAAATTGAACACAGACATTTACCAAATGCATATAAATATCCCTCAGATGCAATATCCACATGTTAAGCATGGACATATATCAAATAGAAATAACAAAATGTCACTTTGCAATCACTAAGCAGAGGCATGGTAACAGTGTCAACTATCAATGTTTATTATTCTGCAAATAGGATTTTAAGTTACAGTTAAAAAGTAACATGCAATACAAAGGCTAGCCATATATTGGCAAGTTAATTATGGGCTAGGTCTTACACACATTAGAGCCACATCAAAGAATTTTTTCATGATGTTACTATAAATAGACTGCAGCCATCTATGTTTACTTTTCATAATTATTTGTTTGCATGGAATGATAACCTCACTATGAGGTGTGTAGCACTTATCAATATTCTACATCAATTATGTTTGCCCAATTAATTAAAGTTAGCCCCCAAATGTAAGTATTTTTCAAGTGAAAAAAAGGGTCTTGTTTGATGCCAAGGTCAAGGTCAAACACTGCAGATAATATTTTCTTGAGAACATAATATATATATGCGTATGTCAAAACCCTTCAGATGTAAACATTGTTTTACTTAGAATACAAACTGCTAAAATACTTTTGATAGTGTTATCATTATTGGGACTCTCTAATTCAGGAATATTTCTTATTATTAGGTGATATTTCAATAACATATTTCAAGTGTAAGAATTGTATTCTCCATCTTAACCCAGTATATCAATGCAGATAGTTTGAGATAATTTTGCTAAACTACAAAACATGAACAATGAACATGTTAAACAACCAGTAAAGTTTTTATATTTGAAGTTTACATGAAAAATAATTGTATTACCATTGTATTTTCCTTCTATGTATTGATAATTGACACAGAATGTTGCTTGTTATTTACCATGTCAAAATATACTTGTTAGGAATTTTTTTACTCCATGCAGATGTTTTGGGAAAATACCAAATGTTCTAATTATCACAGTTAGTGAAATATAAAAGATGTGGATCCTTTACATATTGAGAATTTTGATTAAATTCTCTAAATGTAGAATTTAGTTCAAACATTTTACTTATTTACTTCTGGCTATCAATATCCTTCTTCACTTTCAGCCATGCAGTTAATTGTGTTATCAGCTTGGTGCTTTTGAGGTGAAAGTTGGAGAGTCTGAAGAAATTCAAGTCTTTGCTGAACTTTTCTGCTTAATGTAACTTTTTCAATATATTCATATATTTATGGGGAAACCCAAAAAATCTTCACAATTTCTTGTGTCTATCCTTTTTATTTGGATTTTTTAAAATTTCTTTACATGTAGAATTTACCTTTTTAAAATCTGACTTGGTGTTTGATTATTGGTATTTGATTATTTTAAACTGAGTTGCATAACAATTGTTTTCTTTACTTTCAGTCATGCAGTTACAGACATGACTTGCATCATCTGTTGAAGAGGTGCTGGCTAGGTGTAACTGGGAGAGAGGAGATTTAACTTTTTTGCTTCGAGTTTCTTCTGAAAGTAAGTCAGTCAGTATATTCACATATCTATAGGGAATCAAAGATATACTTTACTTTTGAAAATTTACTGTGAAAAAAAAATAGTTCTATATTTCTGATGACTTACATTCTAATTATAAGAAATCTGATAATTTTAGTAAAATATTAACTTAGTTTATTTCTTTTCTGCTTTTCTTAACAATTGTTCTCCTTACTTTCAGCCATGCAATTACAGACATGACTTGTGTGATCTGTCAAGGAAGTGATGGTGAGGTGAAACTAGGACACAAGGGGTTCAACTCTTTGCTAAAAGTTTCAGCACAACGCAATGATTCGCTATTTGTAACGCTTGTATCAGAAGACAGCAAATATGGTCATGAAAATGCCGCAAGACCTATACCTCAGCATTTAATGTACTTAAGGCCCAGAAGAGCAACACAGATAATATACAGCCGTGTCTTCTGAGGTCTGTAAAATCCGACGGAAGTGATTTTGATTTGAAGACTCATTGCATCATTTGTAACAATAAGATTGACTTTGAGGATGTACAAAAACACAGAAGGAGACATTCTGGCATAAGCCATGTTGAGATTATTGGTTCTGAAAAGAAAAGCTTACTACAGGAAACACTTCTGTCTATTTGTAATGAAAGAACTGATGACCAGGCAGCTGATATTAAAGCCCGCATCATTGTCGCAGGAGACATCCGAGCAGCTGAGGCAACATATCACAGACATCACAGTCCATCTGGTTTTACATCTGAATTCTATAAACTCTTTTGGAAAGACATCAATAAATATCTAATCAATTCATTAAATGAAGCATATAGGAAGGGTGAGCTAGCTATAAGTCAAAAACAAGGAACATCTGAAGAATTTCAGACCCATTTCACTATTAAACATATCATATAAACTAGCTTCAGCCGTGATATCAGCACGTATTAGAAACATACTTCCTAATATAATAAGTGAAGACCAAAAGGGATTTATGAAAGGCAGATACATTGGAGAATGTACAAGACTGGTTCATGACATTATGGATTACATAGAGTATACGAATAAACCAGGACTTTTGATACTTATAGACTTCGAAAAAGCATTCGATTCGGTGGAATGGTCCTGGACTTCTTTAATTTCGGACCATCTATCAAAATTTGGCTAAAAACATTCTACAATAGCATAAACTCTAGTGTTCTTGTAAACGGGTTTCCATCAGAATTGTTTCAAATTACACGGGGTTGTAGACAAGGTGACCCCCTCTCGCCGTATATATTCCTCATAGTAGCAGAAATCCTGGCCCACATGTTACGACAAAACAAAAAGATAAAAGGAATAATGATGATTGATTTAGAATACCTACTGACTCAATTTGCCGATGATAAACTATAATTTTAGACGGGTCTGAGCGCTCTTTTAGGGAAACATTACAAGTACTTCGAAACAATATTCAAGTTTGCAATACTGCGGAGAATACAACCTTGACTGGACTCAAAAGCCATTTGTACTCTTAGGCATTCTATTTCAACATAATAAAGCAGAAATGGTGAAAAAGAATTCTAAAGATAAAATAAAAACAATTGACAAAGTAATGAAAATGTGGACTCTGAGAGACCTTACACCTCTAGGAAGAATAACTATTCTAAAGAGCTTGATTTTACCAACACTTAATCATTTTCACCTCGCTAGCAAACCCTAAATTAGAAACGATAGTGAACTTTCAAAAGAAATGTTTCTCCTTTATTTGGAAAGGTAAACCTGATAGAATAAAACGATGTCTGATAACAAAAACGTACCAAGAAGGTGGTCTAAAAGTACCAGCTATACTTGAAACAATTAAGTCCCAGAAAATATCATGGATTATTCGTGACTCAAAATTTAATAATCTGTTATATACTTCACAACCAGTGAGCAAACTAAACCCCATTGAAATGGGACCATTGTATCTGAAGACACATTATGTTCCAACACTCATAAGCCCATTCTGGAAAGACGTATTTGAAGCCTGGTCTGAATTACAAGGACAAAGTAAATATGATAATGACCATCTCAGCAGACAGTACATATTGGCAAATGATAAGATAACAACAGGTAGAAAACCAGTAGTATATGACCACTACCTACAGACAAATGTAAAATGTGTAAATGATTTCTTAAAAGATGACAATACATTCCTTTCTTATAAAGAATTCGTAGAACTGTATGGGGTTAAAACAAATTTCCTTGAATATACAGGATTATTATCTTCATTGAAAACATATTCAAAACAGAGTTCGTTCAAAATTAATATTCAGAAAGATATACCTTTTATTCCTCCTGATTTGGAAATACTACTCAAAGCTAAGAAAGGATGTAGCATATTTTACAACAGGCTTCTTCACAAGGAAGCTATAAACCAAAAACTGCTTTATCAAAGTAAGCGGGAAAAAGAATTGAACATAAATATCACTCTTAATCTATGGAAGACACATAATGTTTTACCATTTCGAGCATCATATAGTGCTAGGCACTTCTGTTAATTTTGCGATGTTGAAATAGAATCTATCATTCATTTATTATATGAATGCAAACATGTCAAAAAGCTGTGGCAAGATCTACTAGAATGGATTGAAATTAAACGCAGAAACCATTATTCTCGGATTCAAAGAGAGAAGAAATGATGTACTGAATTTTATTTTCATATTAACTAAAGAGTACATGAATTCTAGAAAGTTAGCAAACATTGTACCTTCTCTCGTTAGTCTGAAACCAAAATTGAATTACAATTACCACTTACACACATTGAATGCATACTCTCACTGCAAATACGACACTTTTGTTACATTTTGGTCGTCTTGCCACAATCTATTGACATAGATAATGACTTTGTAATTTGACTCCTATATAAAGCAACAAAAATGCAGACTTCCTACATGTGCATGATATGCTGTACCCAGAACAAAAAGAAATAAAGTGATAAAAAAAACAACCAAAAAAACCATATCACAGACACTGTATGCAGTCCTTGATGTCTCAGCACGATAGGAAGATGAACATCACCTCTAAGGAGTCAGGTAGGGATATCCAGGACAAGACTTTCGAGTCATGGTGTGAAGAGCTCCCGGTAATGATGGAGCATGAGAAACAGTTTATGGTTCAGGACCTACTAGATCAGTATGCAAGTCACCTTCCACAAGAAATTGCTCCCTACAGTGTAAAACACTTCAAGTGAAAACTTGGAACTGTCGCAGAAGTTGATGGAAGACCAGACATTGTTACACTGAAACATCAGGCAAGTTCAATACTGTATGAGTCATACCATGATGCATCTGATACATTAGCTGACCAAGACATTAAGACAGCAAAGGATCTGGGAAGAACAATTAAGGATCTAATAAAATATGTAACGACTGGCTCTGGAAGGTATCCTGTGCCATCTGAAGTTGATGGAAGAACACCAAGTTCCTCAAGTCCTCCATGAATTTATGCAAAGCATCTTTGACAAACCTCGTACAGCATCAGCATCTCTCAAACAACGGATACTGATAGCATATGTGTGCAATATCCTCATGCAAGCATCGCAAGTCTTATGTCTGACATGAAATTCAAGCAAATGCCAAACGTCACCATTTCTTTGCAGAATTTTCTTGAGCTACACTATGGCTGCTGTCTAGTGTTTACCTGAACTCAAAACCAAATTGGCAAGACGATTTTATGTCAGAGATTACCAATGGCCATTGCATATGCACTTCTGTGACCTATAATCCAATGATACCACTGAATCCACAGACCAATGAAGCAGTTTACAGCACAATGAAATGTGTTGACGCGCAGGGAAGACAACGAAAGCAGTGTTGTGCCCAACTCACTTTTGACCAGCCACTTTATACCAAAGCATACAAGATAAAGAGTAACAATCAAGATGAGTTTTCTGATATTCTGTTTCGTCTTGGATGCTTTCATCACTTCATGTCATATCTAGGTGCAGGCTGCAAAATTATGGAGGACAGTGGTTTAGAAGAACTGTGGGCAAATGTTTATGCATGTCAAATTCCCCCAAAAATGGTAGATGGAAAATCTTACACCAAGACACTCCGTGCTTGTTTGTTGACTGATGCTGCACTCCATGCCGTACCTACTGAGTCTCTCAAACCATCACTTGACAATGAAGGGAGAGATGATGAAACTACATTCTCGTCCAGAGAACTATTTCTTTCAGAAGAAGCAAAAGGTGACCTTGCCACACTACAACAAAAGCTATTTCAAAGAAATGATGAAGTTTCTGGCTCAGAAGAAACACTCAAGGAGATTCACCTGAAACTGTTTAACCTGAAAGAGGAAAAACGAAGACAAGTAAACTTTGGCTGATGTTTATGGACTTTGATTCAAATGTGAGAATGTTCATCCGAGCTGAACGATCTGGTAACCGGTTGTTGCATCTCAAGGCCACTGAAGATATGCTTCCCCTATTTGCTGCCTCAGGTCACAACAATTATGCCAAGTTCTGTCGCTTATATTTGCAAGACTGTCAAGATCTGTGTCAATGTCTGCGTGGTCCCATGGAGACAGGATTGTTCACAGTAAGAAGGAAACCCAAGAGATTTTGGAGTGGAACCTTGAGCGATATGGCTCAGTGCCTCATGAGAGCAGGGAAAACACAAGGAGGGTTAATCAATATCACCCATGAGGACTCTGCGAGAACAAAATGGTTGTTATCAGCTCACATTGTTGTGCAATACACTGATGCACTGCGACTGATGACTGGCACGACAACAGAGGTTACAGATCATCACAGAGAGGTTTACCCAGGCGGGATAAAGCAAGATCTGGCTGATTTGCAAACTTTCATCACTTTTCTCCGAGCACACAACCCTTTTGACACACCTCATCAACATCAGCTGAGAAATATTGCTACTGATGTGGTTGCAATCTACAAGGTAAATGCTCATGATGCAGCTGAGATTGGTCGCAAGATTAAAGCAAATCTGACTGGAACGAGATTTGGAGATGTTGTCATGAAGAAATATGATCAAGTGGTCACATTTGCAGTCACGAGGAAATCGGGAAGCCTGTCTGATGGAGAAGAACTGCGAATGTCATCAACAGAACTATACCAACGACTGTTAGCAATGACTCCTCATCAATGGTCCTTCATCACCAAGTGTCTTCTCCTATGAGCTAGCAGCAGTTTCACCAGCTTTGTTTAATGATGACGGGTCAATGAGGAAATGTCGAAAGTCCACACTGGCCAATTTCATATTTGATAACCACCACAAGGAAATAGTGCATGCTGCTGAAGCAGGAACAGTGATCGACGGCTGTGCACTTCAACAACTACAGTGACCAAAGATTGGATGCATCTTTGATCTTTGTCAAATCTTCATCGACAATGTAAAGCATAGAACATTGAGGCATTACCAGTTATGTGTTGTATTTGACAGCTACCTAACATCAACCACCAAGGATCCAGTGCAGAAAAGAAGAAAGCTCATGAAAGTATCAGCACCTGACATTGTAGTTTCAGCTACAACACCAGTTCCTCAAGACAAGTCTGCATTTTTGTCAAACAGGCACAACAAACAAGCTCTGATCAACCTCATTGGAGAAAAGCTTCAAGAGGATGGCATTACTGTCGAACATGCAGGCAAGGAAGGTGATGCCGATGTTGTTGTCAGAAAAGCACTGGAAATGGCTGAGACCTCTGCTGAAGTTGTTGTTCGGCTGATGACACAGACATCCTTGTCTTACTCCTTCACCACAGCAAACCCAACACCAACATTTTCATGAAGACCAAGAAACAACTAGTCTCTGTCAATCAGTGCAAACAAGGTTTGGGAAATGATGTATTCGTTTGCTCCCTTTTGTACATGCCATGTCAGGATGTGACACCACTTCAGCAATGTTTGGGATTGGAAAGGTGAAACATTTCAAATTGTTGCAGAAATCTCAACCACTCAGAAAGACAGTGTCAAGATTTGGAAATCCATCTTCTTCCAAAGAATCTGTCATAGAAGCTGGAGAAATGTTTGTGAGTTCTCTGTATAGCAACACAGATGACATATACAGGTTAGATGATTTGAGATATCTCTTTGCTGTCTCAAAAAAATTCACATCTGTTGAAAGAATGCCAACAACAAGCTGATCATGTGCATTTCATTCCCTACGAGTGCATCACCAGGTGTGTACATGGATCCATCTCAAGACTGTGCTGGACAAACATGAACATGGGTTTCAAACTATCTGCAACACTGTTACACATATAATATCTGATAAGTGTGCTGTCCCAGCCAACCTATTGAAGGAAAGCCGGTGTTCATGTATAGCTGGTAGACAACTGTGTAATAAGTGTACTTGTTCAAAGAAGATAATTCCATGTAGCATCCACTGCAAGTGTAGGGGATAATGTTCAAATCCATCTTCTATTGTTAGAGCTAACTCAGAAGAATGACGGCTTGGCCCAGCATGAACTGCACCTCAGGGAATACAAATGGACATATATATGGGTCTGACAGTTCCATACACTATTTCAGAACAATGTGACTAATTGTGTATTGGATAAAGTGATATTATGTTATTTCAAAGTTAAATGTGAACAGAAGTTGTTCAGAATTAGGTCAGGGACAGTCATATAACAGTGACATTGATAACTTGTGATACCATTTTCTGCTGGAATGAACATTTATTCAGATGGTTTTCACAGCACCAGAGTAATATTG